GGACTGATGACATCATGAGGGTGGTGACTTGGGAGTGAATCTGGATTTGAATGAGGCAGAGCTGCACAGTCATCAGCCTCACTTTCTCCTGCAGAGTCATCGAAGTCCAGCGGCAGGACAAAAGTCAAGACCATTGGCTGTGGCCTGGGATGCCACAGATGGCCTTGGCCTTTCCAAATGAAGCTCTTTCCCAGGTCTCAGTCAGTTGGAGGCCAATGGGAGAGTGAAGACCAGGGTCAGAGGGCCCATCTGCTCCAGGAAGTCTTTTCCGACCTCTCTGAAATCTAGTGGCTTTTCCAATGTAGGTTATTTCGTATTTATCCTGTAGATAGCTCACATACTCATTTGCTTAATTGTCTCCCTCATTAGACTGTGAGTTCCTTGAGGACCAGGCCTATCTTTTTTGCCTCTTCACATCCCCAGCTTTGCCTGGCGTATGTAATAGGTGCTTAGTAAATGCTTATTGACCCGCTGACCTAGGTTCAAATATCACTTGTGGTAGAAGTGATATCCTAAGGCCCTACACCACGCAAATTGGGCTACTTTTTCCTTAAGAGCCATTGAAACCAGCCTTGAGATTTAATTGGTTCAATGGACTAAGGCTAGGCTGCCTGAGCCCAAAAACAACAGGAAGGAGGAGAAGCTCTAGCTCTCTTCTCCTACTTCTGACCTTGGACCAGGGCACCAGCACCAACTCAGCTGAATCAGGTCTAATCCTTGGATGAACATCCTTCCAGGCCCTGAATGTCAAGAATTGAAAGAAGAGGAAATTACATATTAGTATCCTCTTAAAGGTAACTAGGTGCATAAAGTCCTAGACTTTAGGAAGAAGACCTGAGTTCAAATTCTGCATTTAACACTTAGCTGTGTGGCCCTGGACAAAACATTCAACCTCTCAGCCTCAGTTCCCCCATTTGTAAAATGGGGATAATAATAGCACCTATAAGGTTTATAAGGATCTAATTAGATACCATCTGTAATATGCTTTGCAAACCTTAAAGCACTATACAAATCTTATTCTTGTATTCTTATTATTGCTTCTATTATCATAATGAGTCATGGAAGTTTGCTCAGGCTACTGAAGCCAGTGGCCCAGAAGAACTTGTTGCCTGGGCAGTTCATGGGCTCCAGATGGAGACTGAGGCAGACAAGGGGGTTTAAGGAAGCCAAAGACACATGGATGACCCAACATCAGTATATGAGTGCCACGGTTAACCAGTCAGTGACCAGGTTAACATGATACTCTGGGAATGAGAGGATGATTTATTGAGGTGGCACAGTGGGTAGATCTGGGTTTGTACTTGGGAAGACCTGAGGTCAATCCTGCCTCAGACTCTTATTTATGCTGCTCAATGCTGGGCAAGTCTGGGCCTCAGTTTCCCCATCTGTAAAATGAAGGGGTTTGACTCAAAGGCCTCTAATGTCCTTTCCAAATCTAAATGTAGCTAGACAATGTCAACTCAGAGAGTTCATTTCAGTTCAAGAAGCATTTATTAAGCTCCTACCGTGTGCAAGACTGCAAGGCACTGGGATAGAAAGAGAGAAATTAAAACTAGGTCCTACCCTTAAGGAGCTGACAGTCTACTGGGGATACAAATGAATATGTAATGTATGCTTTATTGTTACTGTTCCCTAGTCATTTCAGTCTTGACCCATTTGGGGTTTTCTTGGCAAAGATACCGGAGTGGCTTGACATTTTCTTCTCCAGCTCATCTTACAGATGGGGAAACTGAGGTAAACAGGATTAAGTGACTTGCCCAGGGTTGAACAGCTAGTAAGTGTCTGAGGCCAGATTTGATCTTGGGAAGATGAGTCTTCCTGACTCCAAGCCCAGCACTCTGTCTATGGAGCCGCCTAGCTATTGTTATTACTGGACAGTTGTTTGTCCTTATTCTCAAAGAGGACCAAGGCATCAGGAAGGTGATGTCATGACTTGTAAGTGAATTGGATTTAAGTGAGGCAGGGCTGTGCAAAGTCACCAGCCTCACTACATGCAATGATCTATACCTGTAGCCTCCCCACCTCTGCAAGGAAGGGAGGTGCTTTTTCACAACTCTTTTCTGGGGCCAAAGTTGATCATTATAATTACATATCATTCTGTTTTGCATTATTGTCCTTTCCATTGTAGTCATCGTACATATTGTTTGCCTGGTTCTCCTTATTTCGTTCCACCTTAGTTTATATTAAGCGATCCTCTGGTTCTCTGAATTCTTTCTATTTGCCATTTCTTGTGGGACAATAGTATTCCCTTACATCTGTGTGCCACATTTTTCTAACCGGCCCCCAAATAATAGGCACCTTCTCTTAATTTTTCTGTTCTTTGTTCCCACAAAAAGCCTGCAAGAGACTCTCAATGCAGCTGGCCAGAGGGAGATGAGATAGATAAGGGGAAAAGGCATCCATTTCTAAACAATGCCGAAGTGAGCACAGGCGGCAGAAGTGACTGTAGCACCCAGAGAGGTCGACGGTCCCTCGGTCTGGGTGCGGAGAGAGGTCGGCACAACCTAAGCTTTGGTGACTAACCAGCTCAGTCACCACTCCGCTGCAGCTTCGGAGCCAAAAGCAGTCGGCAGTGAACTCTAAAACACTCTGTGGTTTCTGCCAGTGTTCCTCCCAAAGCTGTTGCTACAGCAAATTAACATGACTGACCCAATGCGTCCTTCCATGGCATTGAGGAAACAGAGGGCTTAAATTGGGAGTCAACTAGAATTCCTATTTGAGAATGACTTCCAGGAATATTTAATACTTGATTCAATTCTCTGTTGTTACACTATCATTCCGCTTTAATGAAATGGCTTTGCTTTGAATTCATGTCATCTGGCTTAAACAGATACATTAGTAGGGGCTCAGAGCAGTGAATTCGAAACTATCTCAGTAATATAATTAAGATAGGCATAGCTGAGAGGACAGCTCCTGGCTTTATAAGGGCTTCTAGTCCCTGCTCTGACCCACTGTGTGTTGTTCGACTGGTCTCTTCCCCTGCCTGAGAGATTCAGTTTCTCCATCAGTAAAATGAGAGGATTGGACTACATATGATCTTTAAGGTTCCTTCTAGTTCTGATATCCTACGTTGTAAGACTCCCCTTCAACGTTCTGTTCCAAGGTTTCTTTTGAGTGCTGACAGTCATTGTCCTAAAATTGTTTTCCAGTTCTGACATCCTGTATCCTAATGGCCTTCCCAGCTCTGAATTTCTGTTCTAAGGGTCCTCCCAGTTCTGACATTCTGTGCTCTAAAAGTCCTCCTAGTTCTGACATCCTGTGTTCTAAGGGCCCTCCCAGCTCTGATTTTCTGTTCTAAGGGCCCTCCCAGCTCTGATTTTCTATTCTAAGGGTCCTCCCAGTTCTGACATCCTGTGTTCTAAGGGCCCTCCCAGCTCCTACATTCTAGGTTCTAAGGCCCCTTCCAGCTCTGACATCCTGTATCCTAAGGGCCTTCCCAGCTCTGAATTTCTGTTCTAAAGGTCCTCCCAGTTCTGACATTCTGTGCTCTAAAGGTCCTCCCAGTTCTGACATTTTGTGTTCTAAAGGTCCTCCTAGTTCTGACATCCTGTGTTCTAAGGGCCCTCCCAGCTCTGATTTTCTATTCTAAGGGTCCTCCCAGTTCTGACATTCTGTGTTCTAAAGGTCCTCCCAGTTCTGACATTCTGTGTTCTAAGGCCCCTTCCAGCTCTGACATCCTGTATCCTAAGGGCCCTCCCAGCTCTGATTTTCTGTTCTAAGGGCCCTCCCAGCTCTGACATTCTGTGTCCTAAGGGCCCTCCCAGCTCTGATTTTCTATTCTAAGGGCCCTCCCAGCTCTGACATTCTGTGTCCTAAGGGCCCTCCCAGCTCCTACATTCTAGGTTCTAAGGCCCCTTTGAGCTCTGACATTCTGTGTCCTAAGGGCCCTCCCAGCTCTGACATTCTGTGTCCTAAGGGCCCTCCCAGCTCCTACATTCTAGGTTCTAAGGCCCCTTTGAGCTCTGACATTCTGTGTCCTAAGGGCCCTCCCAGCTCTGACATTCTCTATTCTAAGGGCAGGCCCAGTGCTAACAATCTCTATTTTCCTAGTCTCTCCCCCACCTCTTTTCTGTCTCTTAGGCTTGTATCTTCTCTTTACTCTCTTCCCACAATTCCTGGCAAAACCCACATCCCTCAGGGGATTTAAATTCCCACTATCTTCTCAGGGAGGATTTCAGTGTTAGTCTCCACCAACTCATCTGATTGGAGTTCCTCCTCTCTGACTGTACCCACCTCCTTGCTCAGTGTTGGGGATGGAGGTTCACTGAGGGGATGGGATGAAGGCTGAATATAGGAAGCTTTGTGTAGGATGGGGTCTCATTGAGGAAACAGAAAGCTTAGTGAGGTAATAGAAGTCTCTGTGAGGGAGATGATTGCTTAATGAGTGAACAAGGACTCAGTGAAAGCGATGGGAGAGCTCAGTGAGAGGACAGGGCCTTGGTTTGAGGTGGGGGACAGGATGTAGCCTAAATGGAGGGGAGGCTTAGGAAAGAGAATATGGGCTCAATGAGTAGAACGGAGAGGATATGTGAGAAAACTGGGATCCAGGAGGGGGTTGGGGTTCAGTGAAAGGGATAGGAGCTCAGTGAGGAGGTGGGAACTTAGGGGGGCTCATTAGGCAGTGAGGTATTGGTAAGGAAATACGGCCTCAGAAAAGGTGTTGAGATTGTATGAGAGGGAGATTGTGTGCTCACACAGTAACAAGGCTAAGCTTGCCCCCCCCATCTCGTCTCTTCCTTCCCATCCCCCCAGCTCAGGCGGGGCCTGTTGCTGAGTGCAGATGAATTATTGATGCCTCCTGGGCTCAGCGGGGTGATGGATGGTGAAGCCACCGCTGTCTGACCCCCCTCCTCCCCTTTCCCTCCCTCGAGCAGCCCAGCCCTGGCTGAGAGCCCCTGGGAGCTGCCCCACTGGGCCTGAGCTGCCTTGGAGATGTCCCCCCTCCCCTCACCAGACTCATTAACGGAAGGCCCTGCGGAAGGGAAGCCGATTAGCGGCTCAATTAGCCACGTTCCGCCTGGGAGCTGAGCACCAGCCTCCCGCAGCCACAGCTGGGAGGGGTCAGCCCTGCATGGTGAGCCAGGCCCCAGGTCTCTGCCAACCCCGAGTCTTAGAACATAGGTTCTCAGAATTAGGGGGGGTCTTAGAACATAGGATGTCAGACAGGACAGGGCCCACAGATACTGAGTCGGGAAGGCCCTTAAGACATAGAATGTCAAGGCTGGGGGGGCCCTTAGACAGAAAATCAGAGCTGGGAAGGCCCTTAGAACTTAGAAACATCAGGACTGGGTGGGTGGGGGGCTTAGAACATATCACAACTAGTGGAGAAAGTAGATCCGTTGAGGAGAAAGAGTTTTTCTCAAGGTCAAATAGCAAACTAGTGGAGAAGCCAATTCCAAGGTCTCTCCACCTCTAGTTAAGGATTCTTCCTACTATACCAAGCTGTCTTCCGTCCAAAAACGCTGATGGCATCATCTACTTTGCAGCTTCTCCTCAATCTCCTGTCCCTTCCAGGGGCATCACTGACACCAACCACTCCACTTTTTTTCTCCTCAATCTCCTGTCCCTTCCAGGGGCATCACTGACACCAACCACCCTACTTTTCCCGGTCCCTCAGCCCCACCACCTTTCCGGATGGATCTCGCTCGTAAAGCTCCGGCCAGGAAAATGCAGCCCCTGGACGACACAGGAGCCTGGGATGCAGAGCCGAGAGTGCCAAGGTCAGATGGGAACACCTGCTGGAACTGGTCTCCAGGATGGACTGACTTCGCGTCAGCTGACACGGAAAGCTGCTTGTCGGGCCAGGGCAGAGAAGGGCAGAGAGGTGGTGGCTGGGAAGAGCACCTGCCTGTAAAACAGTCAGATCCCAGAGGATGGAGAAGCTAGAGGCTGGGTATCTGGACATTTTAGACACAGGAAGGTAAAGAGCCAAATAGCTCTTAATTAGGTTGGCGAAGGGCTCCATCAGAAACCATCCCTCCTCCTAGTGTTGAGACCATCAGCTTGCCTACGACACATTTGCGCTACGACAAGAGCATAGCCATCATTCCAAGGGAGGCTATGGGTGGGAAATGGGGGGTAGGGTAAGGAAAGGCTAATGGCACCATCCTGGAGAGGCCTTCTTTCTCAGATTCTTTTTCCATAAGTGACTGTACAAGATCCTGGTATCTCTGCAAAGATTCTCAAAGATGAGTTGGAAGGCACTGGTGAGAACATATCAAAGATATAAAGGAATTTCACAGAATCGGGACCTGAAGGTTTGGCAGATATTGCCTAGTCCAATCTTGCTTCCCCATTTTATAGAGGTGAACATTGAGGCCCACAGAGTCGAAGACTTCTCCAAGGTCCCAGCAGAAGTAAGGATAGACTCAAAGCAAGAACCCAGAGCCACTGAAGGCAAACAGAACCAAAGGTCTGTTGAAGAGTGGCGGCCATTAGTAGCCAGGCCTCTTTCTCCTGCTCGGAGAGGTCTCTTAATTCGACAGCCCCAAGTGTCTGTAGAGCCTCAGGCTTACCAGGCAGAGTGGGTAGGGAGCGAGAACAGGCCAAACCAGTTCAATGGCAAGTTGAGGAAGAGAATCTTTAGATGGGTACATGAGCTGCCAAAGAACTGGAGCCCTCTCACCACAGCACAGGCTACCTCACATGACAGCAAGTTCCCCACCCAGAGGTATATGAGCAGAGGTTCAGCCTGAGGCTGCGCATGAAAGGTGGCTTAGCTTGGAGGTCCCACACAAGGCAAACTTGAGCAGGCAGCAGACTCCAGGGACGACAGCAGGAGGCGGGCGCTTTAAACCGTCTCACATCTTTATTTGAAAGGCACAGCTAGTACAAGCTTAGTACAGCGTCTCCATTCCTCCTCGGTTTAGGTTAATGAACACCAGAAGCCGACAAGTTTGTCTAAAGGACTATATACAAACACGAAATTGAGGGAAGGGAAACAGGACTTTTTTTTTGGTGAATTTTTTTTTCTTTCTTCTTTTTAAAAGACAGGCTAGCAGACTGAAAGAAAACCAGACAAATGCGGTACCCTCATCTTTATTTGTGGGCATTGGGTGGGGGAGGAAGCAGGCCCCCAGGCCCTCTCCATCCAGCCTCCCCTCCCCCATATGCCTGCTGCTGAGCTCTCTCCCAATGCCTGGCCCAAAGCAAAGGGGCTCAGGTCCCAGGTTAGGTGGTGATGGAGCAGAGCCTGGGAGGAGTCAGGCAGGCAAATGGCAGGAGGAAGGAAAGGAGGAGGGGGACAAGGTAGAGCCTCTACATGAGATGGAGGGGAGGAACCCGGGGCCGGCTGGCATCCGTGATTGCATGCAGTACCAGGAGGGGACTGGGGAACTGCTGTGCTGGGTGCGCAGCAAACAGGCCGAACGGGGGGAGCAGGAGAAGGGGGGTCGGTTACATATGTGCACAGGGAAGGGGGGGAGGCGCGCTTGGAGCTAAGGTGGGTTCACTCTTTTATTCCCTTCCGACCCGGTCTGGTCCCATTCACACCCCAAGGGATTCAGGGGAAGGGGGGAAGGGGCTGGCAGGGAGCAGGGGAGCGGTCAAAGCTATGGGGCTGGGGGCAACATCTTAGATGGGCCAGCTGGCAATGAGGTGCCAGGGTGCCAGCAGCCACCATAAATACCAAGCCTCTTCCCCCACTCCCAGTGCTGTGCCTCTAATCTGACTTGTCACCATCATCGTCCTGATGGGCATCCCCATCATGCCCGTTCTTATCCTCCTTAGAGAGGTGGGCCTGAGAGCCCAGGGCAGAAAGGGAGAGGAGGCCAGTGCCTGCGCTGACAGCCGGCAGCGACGGAGGCTGCAGGCCCACGGGCAGCGGAGTCAGGGGCAAGGCCAGGGCCTGGAGCTGGGACAGCTGGTGAGCCTGGAGCTGCTGCTGCAGGAAAGGAAGGAAGGAGATAAGGACAGGAAGAAAACAGGAAAAAACAAAAATCCCTACAAAACACCACCTGGAGATGTGTCAAAAGAGGTAGCTGGGGGTCGGGCAATAAGGATTGAGACAGGAGACAGGCTGGGGGGGGGGGGCTGGTACTGATCTTCACTGTCAGACTGCATGGTGTGACCTGGACAGGGCCTTCCCTGCCCTGGGTCTGTTTCCCCAGCTGTAAAATGAGGGCATTCAATCTATGTTTCTTAGGGTCCCTTCCATCGGGAACATTTCAAGATTATCTATTCTAAGGGCCTTTCCAGCCCTGGTAGTCTGCCCTGCACCAGACAGTTCTTATGACTCACTAAGTCTATGGACAAAATTATCACCTTCTGGAAAGATTGGGAGGGTGGGCAATTCCTTCACTGGTTAAACATGCCACCTCAGCCCTATCCACAGGAGTCAGTCTGTACTCTTCAGGCAGCCCCAACGTATCCCTCCCCTGCAGCCAGCACGACATGCATCTGCCCTAAGCCAGCTCCTTATGCCTGGAATGACCTGCCCTGCTCCCATTCCCAGCCACTAAAATTGTCCCCCTCCTACCAGGCCTCTCAGCTGCCCCCTTCCTAAACCCCTATCCCCAAGAAGAAGAGATCTTTTCCCTCTGGCTCGGTTGTGTGCACTGCGGGTCCATCTGTGGGGTGATTCTGGGTATTTTAGCTTCTCTCCTAGACTGCAAGCAAGCAGGAGACCATAGGCTGGAAACTGGGCACTCAGTCTGATCCTGTTTTCAAAGGCCCAGAGGGCCAGTGGTTTGCCCAAGGCCCCAAAACTCCAAATAATGCCCCCTTCCCACTGCCATCCAGGTAGGGACACTGGAATCTTTTTTTATCTTTTTGCCTTCTTTCTTCTCTTTTCTAAGGTACTGGGCATGCAGCCCTCAGAGTAAGCTCTCAATATCCACTGAATGAATGGAGAAAAGTCAGTGTGATTTGCTACAATATTTGACTTGGGGGCAGAGCACAAGGTCCCAGTTTTAACCGCTGGTATGTTAACAATAAAGCATCTTCCTCAGGACAGCTCTACAAGGGAGAGGACTTGGCATTAACAGCTCCCTTTACAGATGAGCACACTGAGGCCTAGAGCAAGGGAGGCCTTGTGCATGGAGACAGGCTGCAGCAGAGCTGGAAACTCAAACCCAGGGCTCTGGTCCAGAGCTGGAATCTTTGGAGGCTGAAATGAAATGCTTCCTGGGCTTTTAGTCAATGGGGAAACTGAGGCCCAGAGAGGGTAAGGGGGTTTGTACACACTAATTCTGAGATCTCTGAGGCATCCCTGCGGTTTTATGGAGGTCAGGTGAAAATTTCTTCATAGCCTTTTAAGGTTAACAAAAGTGATTTTACATCTGTTATCTCAATCCAAACAACTCTCCAAAGCAGGTATTATTATTACCCCCATTTTGCAGATATGGAAGTGAAGCCCAGAAAAGTCGGACTCAATTCTTCTAGCCTCCAAGCCCAGTGCCCTATCCCAGGTACCACTTTCTCTACCCAAAAGCTGCTCCATGTGTCACAGAACAACAGACTGACTCCTGTTCCTAGTGTGTCAGGCCCAGAAGGGCCCTCACAGATCACAGGGATTAATCTCCAGGTTTTGTAAGCAGGGAAACTGAGGCACAGACTGAAGCAGGGATACGCCCATGGTCACACTAGGGCACCACTGGGATGCAAAACCTGCCTAGGCCCACCTCCGAAAGATTGCGAGTCTCCAGAGAGAAGGCAGGGATGGGGTGGGCGGATGAAGGTTTCTGGAGCCCTCCCCAACTCTTCCTTTAAGTGTGCTGGTTGAGGGGAAGGGGCAGCGCTACATGAACCCGAGCTAAGAGGGGACCTGCCCCCAAGGTCACGCCTGTTGAGACACATACCCGGATGATGGAGTTCAGCTCTGGAGCAGTTACCTGCTTGGCTCGCTCAATCGCCCCCAAGACCTGTTGTTGGTGCTAGGGAGAGAGAGAAGGCGGGTGGGATAGAGAAAGAGGTGTTAACTTGCCTCCATGAGCCCCAACCCCCAGGCGCACACAGTGCTGGAATCACAGGATGTCAGGAGGCGAGGAGAGGAGAGGAGCTGGAGAGGTCACCAGCTAGCTCCCTGCAAGGACATTTCCATACAGCCTCCCCACCCTCCACCAGCCGCACAACAACATACCTCTTCAGACAACACGGGGACTCTTCCTCCCCACTCCCCACCCCCCACTGCTTCCCTCTTCTCCCCAGAGCTTGTGTTCCTATGGTTAGCGCCTTCAGGCTTACAAAACGCTTTCTTCATAACCTTTTCAGGGTGGCATCACTCCCATTATACAAATGAGAAAACGCAGTCTCAGAATGAGTGTGTGACTTGTCCAAGGTCACCCATCTAGTAAGAACTAGGATTCTAATCCAAGTTCAAAGTCCTTTCATCTCATGCCTCCTGTGAGTACTGGGGAATGGGGGGGCGGTTCTTGGGCCCCACAGCTGGCAAGGTGCCAGTAGAAATGCAGGAGAACCAGAAGGATCCAAGAGTAGATCCACTGGTCAGGGACCAGCTTGGGGTTCCCATGACATCCTTTTAAAGAAATGATACTTTTTAGAACAGAGTTTCTAATTATCATGCCCCACACTGCAGGGGTTTTACAAGGTGCAAAGGAAAAAAAAATCTCTGTAGCATCTGATGTTTCTCAATAGCTGGCTGGCATTAATAGACAGCCCTTTAAAGTGTGCAAAGTTTCCTAACGACCCTGTGAGGAAGGTACACCATGGCCTCCCATGTCACAGATGAGAAGACAGAGACTCAATGGCACGAAGAGCGTGGTTCAGGGTGACAAAGCTAACAAGTGTGGGAGGCAACATCGGAGCCTACATCTCCTGGACTCCAAGCCCAGCGCTCAGTGCCCACGCCAGGGAGCAATCTGTTTCCAATACAAAGTGATTCCAGCGTCTCGCGCAGTGGTTGGCACAAACAAGGCATAAAAGCCTCAACATCTGTTGATTGATTCCCTCAGCAGAAGATCACAAATTATCCACTGCATGTGGGGCTGAGGAAACAAAGCTCTTACTGACCCAAGCCCCTGGGGACCTACGGGGTCCCTCGAGCCACCCCAATCTCCCAATCAATGTTCCTCCTCCCAAATGTCTGCCAGGTGGGCCAGACCCTCAGATGTCTATGGAAGGCCCCTGCCAACAGCCTTGAAGGCCAATACCACTCAGGGAGGTAGAAGGGGAGACACCTGTGGCTGGAATAATGCTCATGGGGTCTTCAGCGGAGCCTCCTCCTAGGCTGGACAGCCCAGATACCATTCAGAGAGGACCCTGCCCTCTATTTCCCTAGTCGTGCTGTCATGACCTCCCATTCCCACAGTGCTTAAGAATTACAAAAACATGTCCTGGAAGGAAGGCAGCTATTGACCCCCATTTTACAGAGGAGAAAGTAAGGCTCAGGGAGCAGGCAGTGACTGGCCCACAGTCCCACAGCCAGTGAAGACAGTTACGTTTCTAAACGCTCTTTCCTCACAGCATCCCTGAAAGGCAGGCAGTGCCAACATCACCATCTTCATTGGAGAGAGGAGGAAACGAGGCAAAGGCAAAAAGCAGCTTGCCCAAGGTCACCAGTAACAGCCTGCACATAGCCCTCTGAGGGTCTGCAGAGCTTCTGACAAGTTATCTGATATCCATAACACTCCTGAAAGGCAGATGCTGTTGTTCTCATTTTACAGATGGAGAAACTGAGGCAGGCAGCAGTGAAGTGACCCACCTAAGGTTACACAGCTCAACACTGTCTTGGACAAGAATTGAACTCAGTTCTCCCTGACTTAGGTCCGACACTCCATCTAGCTAGGATATGTAGCTGGTGAATATTCCCAGACAGGAAACAAAAATGCCAGAGAAGAGGGATGCTGGGCATTCCCCAAGAGTCAGAAGGATGGAGTCAAAGGCTTCCAAACACTAGCTAGCTCTCAGATCGTCTCCCCTTCTCCTGACCCTACCCCAGCCTCCACTCCTTCCCAATTCCAGTCCTGCTTCAGCCTTGGTCCTGGGAGCTGGGCTCCCGGCCGATGGGACTCGGCCGCCCTATAGGAATGATTCCTACAGGATTCCCGGGGAGGAGCGAGATGCTGGGATGTGTGATTTGGCTGCCCTCTGCTGGCCCGATTCCAGCAATCCTGGGGGGCTGGGGCTCCCCTTACCTCTTGTGAAAGGTAGGGCAAGACTTGAGCACAAATTCCATTGAGCCTCTTGACGATTTCAGCCTGAAACACAGAAGGTCTGTGATGATGGGGAGGGAAGAGCCTGGCCTTGCTCGGGGGAGGGGGGGGTGTCAAGGCAGGGGAGGGGCTCAGTCTACATACTGGGGGGAAGGGTGTCAGAAAAAGACGCTTCAGATCTGGAGAAAACAAAACCAAACAGGATTCAGGCTTCCCTTAAAGATGGGGGTGAGGGCAGGGACGGCCTAAGGCCAAAAGGCAAGTTATGCTTTCTCAGAGGGGGCGGTGACCACAGAATGACAGTATCTGAGAATTAAACTTCTGAGGTCACTGTGTACCCCCCTCACCCACCAGCCTTCCCGACAGCTCCTGCTTCTACACATCCAGGGACACCCTGCTCCCCAAATGGGT